TCCTTCAGGTTTTCTCTGTCCATCAGGGTACTGACACCTCAGGGAGAAGGGAAAAGAGCTTTGTTCTGTATCCTAGTCAGTTGGCTGAAGGGCTTGCTTCCACCTTGTTCTGTTGGCACTTAGTAAGTTATCAGGCCATAGGCTAGATGCCGAGGATACAAAGATTAATTACAGACAAACAAGCAAAGAAACATGGTTCCTAGGGTTATGGAGTTTTCAGTCTAGTGGGCAGGTACCAATGCCCTGACTTCCTAAATATATATAAAAGACCAGAAATATTAATGTGGAAGTGATAATCCTATTTGGAAATAGGCCAGAGGTTTAAAAATATTAAATGTGTATCTCAATGTGTAAGAAGTCTCCTTAAAAATTACTTTAAAAAACAGAAAGGATTTACACCTTTTTCAGTCTGTTTGATGGCCCAGACAGAAAGGCGGTTCTAAAGATTTTGTCACAGTGTAATGCAATCTCCCTTGATTGTTACCCCAGGTGCCTTTCCCTCAGTGAAATCTATCATTAAAAGAAACTCCTACATGTCAGATGAAGTGAAATGGGGGGAAGAATAAGAGAAGGTCTTTTTCCCAACTTCCGGAGTTGGCACTAGTGAAAAATGTATTCATGAAATTGTGTTTCTAATACAAACACCAACTTTTCACCTAGCAGCAAAGCTCTTTCTTTCACTTTCTCGCTACTTTTTTTATGATTATAAAAATAATACATGCACATTGTAGGCAATTTATAAAATATAGGGAAGTATAAAGAGAAGAAAACTTGTAAACTCACTAACCGGTGATAATCACTTCTAATATTTTGGTTTATTTCCTTCTAGTGTTCTTCGTTTTTCTACGTACATAAGTATTCACAAACATACAAATATTTTACATACCTGTTATCATGCTATATATGTATAGATTTGTATCCTGCTTTTTTCTCTCATCATTAAATATAAAACACATGTTTGTACAATTAAATATTATTTTAAAACATCAGCAAGGCTATCTTCATACTTATAATGACTTTATTTCTCCCGTTAATCTAAGTCCAAATATTTTATAAGAAAGACAGAGTTACTTCTCATTTATGTTAAACTTTACCTTGAGAACACATCAACTGGAAAAGTAAAAAGAGGAAAATCCTGTTAATAAAAATCTCTGAAATCAATTAAGAAATAGGACATTTCTGCAAACTTCACTTTCCTTCCTGAAGAGAACTCCAGAAAAGTCACAAGAGGTGAGGGTGGTGTCCAATTCTCTCTTCAGATCTAACAGGTAGGTCTTTACGATTTTATAGTAACGTCCAGGGTCCTGACTATAGACCCTCATCCTAGAAGCACATAAGGCTTTTTTTTTTTAAGTTTGGAATTTCAGTTCAAAGACTTGGTTGCACAAATATAGCACAAAGTAACCTGATTAGACAACAATCTATCTTTTAACAACAAATTCAGAGATTTTAAAAATCTGGCTGGAATCTCCTCCGCATCGTTACTGAAATGTGAAGGCTTCATACTTTGGAAAATACAACTTCAGAAACTTTTAACATAAAGTTTACAGGGAGAAAACAGTATTTAAATTATATCTTAGTTTTTAATAACTATTTATTATTTTGAATACAGTTTTAATGTTGACTTGGTGATAAAAGTAGCACATAATCATTCAAGCCACTTTGTTTTCTGTCTTACTCTCTGAACGACCCTATGAGATCTGTGTGTAGGCAGAGAAATATTGCTATCCCAGTTTCAGAGACAAGGTCTTTAAGATTCTGGAAATGTTAAATGACTGGTCCGCGCTCACACAGTAAGCCAAAGAACTGGGGTCAGAAACTTTTATTGTAAGTACATCATTCTTTTCAAATAATTTATTTTAAGCATCTTTAAGAGAACTGTGGTTTGCCTATATTCTATCTTGTTCAGAAATGTATGGTATTCTGTCCAACTCTGTCACAAAGCATATTTTAAGTGGAAAATTGACAATCTCGAGTTGGCTCCAGAGGAGGGTGATCAAGACTGTGAGAACTATAGAAACCATGTTCTATCACCAATAATGGATGAAGGAATTTGGTATATTTAGCCTGGAAAGAGAAGATCAAGAGGAGATAAGAGAGTTCTTCTAATGTTTGAATGGCTGTCAAATGGACAGACAAGCCGACTCGTTCCACATTGCTCCAAATATCAGGCAAGAACAATGAATAAAACTTCAAAAGAAACAGGTTCCTGCACAATAAGAGATTTGTCTTTTGAACCAATGGAACCGTTCAAATGTGGAGAAAAGTACTCTCTATAAGAGAGTGAATGCCTCTGCCCTGGACACATTTAAGGAAAAGCTGGCAGGGACACTGTGATGACTTTTCTGGTTCCTTATATCTTCCATTTATTTTTCTTTGTTTTTCTTGGCTCACGAATGCAATATACAGTATACAGTATATGACAGAAGAGAAGCTGCTATGAGTCAGGTGCTTCCAAACTGTTTCCCAGAGGAAAAAATCACCTGGGGTAGTTGAACAAGGAGCCTGGGAAAGTTGGGTTTAACAAGTGCCCCAGGTGAATTTTATCATCATAGAAGTTTAAGAATACTTTTCAAAACATCATTTCATTTAATCCTCACAACAATCCTGTAGGGCAGATGAGAAAATTGAGGTTCAGAGTTATTTAGCAATGTGCCCAAAGTCACATAGCTATTAAATGATAGAGAGGGATTCACAGTGAGGGAGTTTGACCTGGAGTCTGAGATATTACCCTCTACAAGACACTGAAAGGAAGACACTAAGAAAGGAAATGGGTAACTTGAAGAAAGGCTTTATTAAATGTGCATGTTGAATTTTTAAAACTTAAGTCATGATTCCTTTGCAAGCATAGTAAAATGTGGAGGTTTGTAAATGATAGTGTTCGGACTCAGGCAGGAACTATGTTGAAGTTCACTTTTTTTGTCTTTCATGAATAATTATGAAAAGGGTGTACTAACCAAATAAATAATTTCAACATGATTACAAAGAGAACAACATTTTAATGCACTTAGCAGAAGCAATTTACATGCATACAATTAATGTGCTAATTTCAGTGATCTTTAGCTATTCATTAAAACAGGCCTGGCAGGTCCTGTACTTGGCAACACTTTGTTAGTCATTTCCTGTTATTACTTTATGTACTCAAAAGTAATCAGCCATCTATAATTTAAGACTTTTCACTAATTAAATAGCCCTTTTTCTAATTATGTACAAAATAGAGAGGTTAGTGTGTGGATAAATATGTTTGTGTTTGGTTCATGTATTCAGAGATGGTGATTTCTCTGCATGTGGCAACAAAGAACAACATGTGATCAATAGTCTTTAACGCAGAGCACGGGGGATTGTTACAGTGAGCAAGAAGGACCTTTTGACTTAAAATCTGAGCAGCAGAGAAAAAGTATTGTCATTGAGACGGGCTTTATGTTCAGCCTTGTAAACCTAGCAAGGTCTGGATTTGTTGCCCTTCAGGGAATAATACGAGGATCATCTGTTTTTTCAGGCCTTTGCCCAAGAGATGAAATGGAATGAAGGTTGAGGGAGAAAAGGAGTTAAAGGTTGTGTTTGCAGGAATGCATTTGCTGACATTGATCTACGGGTAATTTTGTGATTGTAGGTTTATTCACAAAGGGAGCTCAAAAAACAGATCAATAAGAAAGCAATGGTGAAGATGCTGAAGAAAAGGTGATTAATGAAAAATATGGTGAAGGTGCAATCTGCCATGTAGTATGAATGCTCCTTCATTCAGCACCCTATAAATAAATATGCATCAGATAGAACGAGAACATTCCCTTGGAATATCGTTAGAGCCAGGCAGAATCTCATCAGAGCCCATGCTTCAAAGAGCAGTTCCTCATGTCCATGGAAGCAAGTTTAAATTCTCTTATGTAAACTCTGTAAGCAGTTCCACTCTTGCATTATGCATGATTCTGACATCTTGTAACATTAGCAGTGTTCTAAAAGTGATTTCCAATATTATTTCATGTGTTATGTTTTAACAATGCTATTTAGGTTAGGATTTTACTTTGGCCACATAATATCTTGTTACATTTCCTCATATAACATCTAATTATGGTAGCATTACTGTAACTTAGTACTGTATAGATAGACAAGGACTTAGTGTAGCCTTAAAAGAATTTGTTGCCTTTAAAGCCAATGCTTTCTTCTGTCATTTTTATTACGCTGATTTAATATGTAATGATAAGTGTTAGGCAGAATCCCAGCTTCTTATACCAGGGAACTGATAATGAGTCGTGCTAAAGTGAATACCAAAATCTAAGAAAACTAAACGTTACGGTGGGTTATGTGTCTTTCCGAGGATAACAACACTCAAGTTCTTAAATACAAAACTCCGAGAGGAATTAATCCTCGGTAATCTTGTGACAAAGCAGAAAGCTTTACTCGTCCCATTCTTGGGTCTCTGTCCTTATCCTCTTTTGCAGAAATCCAGGCTTTTCTCCCTATTGACCCCTGCCTTCAAGAAAGGATTTGAAATCAGGCTTTAGCACCTAGAAAATATCGTGTCAGAGAACTTACTCTCCTTATTTCATATGTATCTCAGTCTTATTATTTTGAAATACCAGTTTCCCATTTAAATTATTTAATCAGCTAGTCATCCTGGGTAGGACCTGGGTAGCAAATGTGCAAGCAGATTTCTTTCAGATCTCTCTGTTTTTTAAAGATCCAGGTAGAGGCTATATCTATACTGCATGAAGGATAAAATTAAATGCTTTCAATTAAATTCTTAATTTGGTCCATGAGTCAGAGAATTGAGAAATAAAATAACTATTTTTAAATTTACTATAGGAGGTAGTCTAAGCATCTTTACTGATAACCAAATGATTACATATGTTACTCTCCCTGGACTATAATTGATATATCTAAGAAAAAATATTTATGTGGAATATGTGTTATGTATGTAATACACTGTATGAAAAGCAAGTGCTATATGCCAACTGCTTTACGTACATTATTTCAATCAAGTACTCTGCATACAATCTTACCTTGGACGAAACTGTCCAGATGAGCAGGCAGAAGTCAGGGCTGAAATCCAGTTCAGGTTCTCTTTGCCAAGTCTGAGAAGAGACATGGGCAATGTTAGCCCTAAGAAATGAATGCTTTTTCCTAATTGGTTTCCCCAGAGAGGGCACCTTTTTCTAATTCACTGTATGACCTAGTATTAGCCCTGATCTCTTTTCATACTCAGAACAACACCTCAAAGAATATAAGTTTATAGGTGAAGAACACAAGAGCTAGAGGGGTTAAATCGCCCACCTGCTGAGATACATCAGAACTTGCAATTAGACTTGTCTGCCTTTAAATACCATGCTTCCTCCCCCCAAAAAAAGGGAAAGTGGGAGGAAAATCACTTATGTCCTTGGTCAATGTATAGGTAGCCCAATTGTTTGTAGCATTGTGCTAATGAAACTACAAAGCCATCAGGTTTAGTTAAAGGTAGTGAACTACATTTTGTGTTAAGTTATAACTGTATTCTATGCATGGTGTGCTTCCAGATGCAAAACAATGAGAGGAAGGAGTCTGACAGTGTAATGCAGTGGTTCTCAAACTTTAGTGGGCTTCAGAATCATCTTGGAGGGCTTGTTAAACAGAGATCACTGGACCTCCAGAACAGAGTTTCTGACTCAATAGGTCAAGAATTCACCTGAAAATCTGTATTGCTAACAAGTGTTCAGGTGATATTGATGCTGTTCATCCAGAGACTACCCTGGCATAGTTTAAAGAATCTATCAATTAAAAAGAAACCAACCAACCAACCAAAAAAGAAAAAACAAAACAAAACAAAAAAACCTCAAATTAAAACTGAAGAAAAGCCACTAGTCTGCAAGTGGGTAAGGAGTGTTGTCTAAGAACATAAAAGCAGCATGGGTTTTGTGTCTCATTTTTCCCTTCAATCAAGTGAATCAGCTTGCAGGATTATAGTGGTATACAGAGCTTTCAATTTACAGCCAAATTGTATTAAAGATTAAAACAACAATAAAGGATAACAAGGTATCAATCTGACAAGATTTGGCATTAGATGACCTGCTTAATATTATCATCTCTGGGAGAAGATACTGCTGGAAATGTCAGAAAACAAATAAAGAATAGGAGGCCTGCCCCATTAATTGCATATTTATTCTTATCCTGCCCTCATTTTTCATATATGGACAATCACAGTTAATCACAAAGCATTTCTCTCGGGATCCTTTGTGAAGTGTGAAATAAATTTTCCAATAAAATGTTTAGTAGAGTGTGTCTGGTTTCCAATTAAAGAAACATACTTGTATAATATCACGAATTCCTTCCACGAAACATTTCCTTTGTATAGAAACACTTCGCAATAAATTTTAAAATAACCCTATTGTCAGGATAACTTAACAGCAGAGTGCCTGGTGAGCCCCCCTACCCTTACTTCCCCCAACACTCCCTAAGGAATAGGCTGTACAGAATAGCTTGATCTTGTCTGTATATGCAGTCAGCCAGTGTGGTGTGAAAACACTGTTACTCATCACACTAATCTATATGTATCACCCCATAATCAATATGGCTAGCACACCGCCAGAGTGATCGCGTAAACCAATTCTGTCAACACATACCAAATGATTACCTACGGCCACCATCTATCCATGCAGTATCCAGAATAGACTTGGACTTACTTTTTTCTGTTTTCACTCTGTTTCCTTTTGTCCCTTCCATGCTTTTAATCTTCCTTTAAAGAATCCCAATCTCTTAGTAACATGGAAAAAACACAATGAGGCAATCCATTTTCTGAATGGTGGAACCACAGATTCACAACATTTAATTAGAGCTAATTTAAGAGGGTTTTCTTAGTCTTTAGGACAAAATCCCTCAAGGGAAATAGTGATGCAATTATTTGATGTCTTTCACTTGGTTTGTTGGCTCACCTTTGGAGTTCTTAGTTATGTCTGGAAAAAATCAGACGGGTGGGCTTGTCTTGATTCTCATGGAAGCAGCATTGTCCTGACAGTTTGATCATGGTTCTAGAAATCAAGTTTTTCCGGCTGTGAGTTACTGACAAGTCTGTCTCCAGCTTTAAGGACAGCCTTGCTTAGAGAGTTATTTTCTTTGATGTGGATGTCAAACTAACACACTGATCATACTGTAACAACTAGGTTTTTTCTTCCTTTATTAAAGCCACAGGTCAAAAGAAGTTACCTGGATTTCATGTGAACTATGAGAAGTGAGAATTTCCAAAGACTTTTTTAAAGGAACAAACTACCAGGAAATTTTTAATTGAAAAAAAAAAAAAAAAGATAACTGTGGTCATGTGAAATGAACCTGAAATTCAATATATCATTTGAGAAACCTCATTGAAAGGCTAAAGTATCTTCCTGTGTATGATAGATCAAAGTCAGAATGGTAATTGACTAGAGTACAGGATTTTAAAAGAATCAGATTTGCTGCTTTATCTCAAGTTGTCTTCTCAAGGGACTTTTTAAACTCCTCAATTTTGAAATGAAAACAATAAGAATAAACATAATAGTGTAGATGGATGACTATTGAGGCAGAACTTGAAGTCTTCTAATGAGAAATTAGGCATTTTAAAAACTGACAAATACTTTGACTTTTACCAGTGTAGACATTACTTTGCTGTGGGAAGAACCATTTTTAATTAAGTGGATGTAAGACAAATAGGCATCCATTGTTCTGGGGCAAAAGTGCATTAGGCTTCTTTTTAATTTTTCCCCTGTGACTGAAGCTGCTCCACTCTAAATCCCTTAGAATATGAAATTCTAAGAATGCCATGAGGGGGATGGGCAAATTTCTAAAATGATTTCTGGAAAGAAAGTAATGGAAAACCTCACCCCTGTTTCCTTTGAGGTTGCAGGTTGTTCACACACCTTTAGTTGACTGAGGATGATGTAGCTGAGGTTAGCTGGAAGTTTAGAAGCCCCTGAAAAACTTACCACAAAGAATAGATTCTGGACTATGGAGTCAGGCTGCAGATTAGGCCTGGGTTTTCTTAGGCACAGTTTTCTTCCATGGAAAACTTTCCTGAACCAACCACCTTGACACAGTGGGTTTGCCACAAAAAGAAAATAAATAAGTAAGCTGTATGAGCACCTGTGTGTTTAGAGTGGGTGTCTGTACGTGGCTGCATGATATTGGGCCCACTGTCTGCTGGCAAGGGGTAACCATGGCTGAGGCTAAGAAGGCTTCCTCTCCCTACTCAGACCTACACCTGTGGAATCTCAGCAGGGCACAGTGAGAAAGCAGCACCATTTTCAACAGCCAACACCTACCCACTGAAGCCAGAGGCTGAAGACAACCAATCAACTAATTTCCTCTTGATGGAATTTGGTTATAATCTCAATTACCCACAGAATCTGAGATAGTCTCTGGATTACTGAGCTCTGCTAGAACAGTGGTATCCTTATAATGCTAAGATGGCTGCTCCAGGTCAAGCTGAATTGAATATTTAAAGAGATATGTCCCCATTTGGTTCTGGGGTTCATAACTGCTAGTGAATCTATGCCAAAATACATCATTTAACATTTATTCCAAGCTTAGTGTATGCCAGACACAGCAGCAAACACTTCACACATATTAACCTTCATCATGTCTTATTCTTATCTTCACCATGTCATGCTTTCACAAAAGATCATGCAATCATTAAGTGAAAGGCAAGCATTCAAACTCAGTCCCATCTGATTTAAGATCAGTTTAGCAATATAGAAGAAATCGGCCAGCATTATCAATCTCAAATTTCAAATGCTATTATGAAACTCTCTTAGTAAAGAAAATAATAAATAGCTGAAGCCCTGTTCATTTAAGGCGTTAGCTACTAAATCTCTTAAAACCAATCTTGATTTATTAGAGAAAAATGAATGCAGTACAATGTAAACATTATATTTTCAGAGAATAATTTCTAAGAAATTCTAAGTGAAGAGCAGTCAATGATGTTGTCAGTACACTTAATACTTTATCCTTCTATACGTTTTACACTGTATAACCCACCCTCCCATATGTAATTTTAATTGCTCTCCATAGGTGGCAATTTGATTGGAATTAAAGTTTAACTTGCCAACTTAAAAAGGTTTATTTCTTATTTAAAAAAAAAAAAAAGAAAAAAAAAGAAGGACACTTTAGAAGTATTAGCAATAACCCAAGCAAATGCCATTTTCCCCTCCTATTTTCCCACTTCTCTTATTGGTCCCACTGTGCTCTTAGTCATTTAATCCAAGCTTAAAACCCTGAGGTCACTTCTCTTTCTCCTTCTTCTTTCATATTTATATACACACCAAGGCCTGTGACTTTTTACTTACTTATTTAATTACCCCACATTCTTGAGGTGACTTTTCTTTCTAGATTAAATATTAGCCACTATAAATTCTACAAATGATCACCTCACATTATATCCCAAGGCTCTTCATCAGCCTGCCTATCTTCAGTCTTACCTCCTTGATCCATACCATACGATCCCAAAATTGACTCACCAAACACCACGTATATCAGTTTCAATGGAGCTTTTTTGACTATTCAAGAATATGTTAAATCATTAGCCTAATATTCAAGAAAACACATAACCAAGCCCCAACCTGCATTTCTATCTCCCCTTCCACCTCTGTTCGCCTAAAGTCATTCCTCTTCCATCTTTCAAAGTTCAACTTAGATCGTATTTCCTATAGAAAAATGCTCTGACCATGACAAATAAAATAGATAGTCCATTGTAAATGGGAGGTGTCTATTCCACTTATTTAGCACAAAATTATTTCATGGAATTACCAGTTTCTTTCCATGTATATATCTTTATTTGAACTAGACTGCAGAAACTTGAGAGTAGGAACTACATCATGCATATTGTTAATTATTCATGGCACTTCTTATTACATATATATTTATACTCTTAATATTGAGTATAAATTCTATATCGTACATAAATATACTACATATAAATATTACTATTTCTGCCTCATAAAGTTCCATTTAACTTATTTTGGGAAACCCTCCCCTTTGTGAGATTTGTTTCCCTGACCTTAAATGAAATAGAGCGATGGCAGCAGATTGGAACTAGTCAGGTCAAATTTAGCTCCTATTTTAGTTGTTACTTAACATAAAGCTCTTTTTTTCAGGGCCCCATGGTGGAGTTCTTTTAGTCTCCATGTACAGAGTCTGTAATTGGCATAAATGTTCAGTGTCTGTAGATGTACCAAGTGTCACAATCTGACTTTGTGACTCAAATGGATTTTGCAGCTCATACCACAGAAAAAAAAGACTATTTGATGACCAGTGACATCCCTTAAGCTGACAAATCACTTCCTTGTTATCCCTGGCATCTTCCACACCTAGCCCATTACTAAGTGACAGCTCTAAGGGATGCTGAAAGTTGAAGCAAAAAATGAAAACCAATATCATTAATTTAAATACTGACAGGCCTTAGGCAGACTGGAGCTTTAAGCCAGCCATTTTGAGACAGATACAGGATTTTGCTGTTAAGATCAAAAAGCTGAGTCCCATAGCTTTCCTGTGTGGCAGGTTTTAATGCCTAAAAGAAGTTTTAACAGTGGCTCAGCTGGTGGCTGGTCACATACACTGAGCCTTACGGTCCTCCTCTTAAATGGGTTAACATCTTCTTTAGCTTAGATAAGTATTATTGATATGAATTCTGCTATGTCATATTAAAAGGGCATAGTAGGGGTCTCACAGCTGAGATTCAAACATCCTTGGGAGATGCTGTGGACAAGAGATCTGGTTGCTAGTGTATCTGCCCGAGGCAGTCTGGAACCTCTTGGAAAATAATTCTTTCTAAGAAAAGAAGGAATCAGGCCCAAAGCCTCAGCTGACAAAATCAGCATGGTTTCTGTCATGCCATCTCCTCAGGGACTCATATCTGGGTCCAAAGAAAACAGAAGGCTTTGAGTAAAAACTAAACAACATTGGGGTGCAAGTTACTACTACTTTGAAAGAACCTCTAATAAAGGATAGCTCCCAAAATGGAAAAGGTAGTCCCCAGCAAAAGAGGCAGCAGTGCAGGAGAGACTAATGTGAGCAATCAGCACCACCTGCACCCAGAGGATGGACCAATGCTGCGTAAATGTACCAGCGGCGCCCGGAAGACACCATAGAGTTTATGATCGTCTTGGTCACAAGCACATGGCAGTCACCCTTGTTGCCTTCTCAGAAATACTTGAGAAGGGTGATTAAAAGTGTTTAGAGGGCTGGAGTCTGGCAATGACCAGTGACAGCAGTGAAATACCATAAAACTACCAAACTGATCCCATTTTTACTCAGGGTGCACTGAGTGGAAATAATAACAATATAGCTAATGTTTACTGAGTGCTTTGAACAGACATTTTTTACTTACTAGTTTATTTGATCCTCAAGTCAATTCTATGAGAAAGGTACTACTATCGTCTTCATTTTAGAGGTGAGAAACCTGAGTCCTAAAAAGGTGAAGTAATTGGCCCTAAAGCTAGGAGCTGATCAGTAATAGCCTAGAGATTTGAATGAAGTTCCAAAGCCTGATGGATAGCTACAAGTAATATAAGCTACTACTTGCTTGCACTATGGAAGGAGTTAGGAGGGCTTGTTATAAAAGCTAAATACAAATTCTTTGTTTCAATAACGGCTAAAATTGGTACAGCTGTTTAACATTAGCTAAGTATGTACTACAGCTAGGTAGGGGATAGGACCTCACTCTTAAAATGAGCCACAAAAATCTCCATAGCCTGGTAAGGAAACATCTCAGAGCAGGCAGCCTGATATACAGCAGGATAGGCTGAGGCCGGTACAGGACTGTTCAGCATTCCTGCAGCTGCTGCTACACGGTCTGAGACTCCACGGGAACTGCTCACAGATACTGGGAATTCTTTTTTTCTTTTTTCTTTTTTTTTGGATACAGAGTCTCACTCTGTTGCCCATGCTGGAGTGCAATGGCACTGTCTCAGCTCACTCTGCCTCCCGGGTTCAAGCGATTCTCCTGCCTCAGCCTCCGAAATAGCCACCATGGCCTGGCTAATTTTTGTATTTTTTGTACAGATGGGATTTCACCATGTTGGCCAGTCTGGTCTCGAACTCCTGGCCTCCAGTGATCAGCCAGCCTTGCCTCCCAAAGTGATGGGATTTCAGGCGTGAGCCACTGTGCTCACCTGGGGGGAATTCTTATTCCCTTGATGTGGACAGAGCAGAAGGTAGATACTCTCTGCATATTGGGAAGGCCACTGTTGGTACTTACCTGGGCTAGGCTTAAGGAGACTTTAATTCTTCCTG